ACTTTTAAAAAATGTATTTTGATGAAAAAAAGGATCAAACAAGGACTAAAATTGTGCTAATTTTGAAGAAAAATACTCTAGGTACAGAAGGCCTTTGACAGAAAAGCTACAGAATTTTGAATTCTGTGACGTGGCAGCAAAAAATGCTTAAAAATGAATTAGAAGGGAAACCAGGAAGGCACATTCATTTCTGCCCAAAATAGAACCCACCCACCCGCCACCCGACCAAGATTCATCTCCGGCTATGAAGTTACGGTACAAGCGATTGTTTGGACGATTCATACCCATTTCAATTTTCCCACTTATTTTTTCCAGAATTGCGTTTGGTCTTCAATTTTAATGGGGTTGATTGCGTCTTTTACTTTCCAGAATTGCAACTGGTCTTCAGTTTTTGTTGAGATTGTTTATGGTTTCCGTATAGCCTGTAGAACCACCCAGCCATCTAGTGTTTTCTTTCATGATTGCAGTTTCTTAATGAAGTGAAATCTGTTAAGTAATTTTAATATTATTACATAAGAAACTCAAACAGAAGACCCATCTTGATATAACACGCTGTTTCACCTGAATGTTAGGAGGAAAGTCACTCTCATAAACTTATTTGGTCCATTATTTACTCTAGCTTGGAGGTTCAACCAATTATTCTACATCTCTTTGTTCTTCCCTATATACAGATTCTTCATATTATGTGCAAGACAAGCAAATAATAGAGTAAGGTCAACAAGGCAATCCTATTTAATCATATTTTTAGTAGTGAAAATGAACTCTTATCAGGATTCAATTAACCAAGCTTGCAGTCCAAATTAGACGAAATTAAGTGTTTTTGGTTGATGGAGTGCACTAGAATTTTTGGTTGATGGAATGCACTAGAAGATTAAATGCAAGAACAACATTTTACAACAGCTTCTTGTTTTACCCAGAAAGTAGCATAGCTNATTTAGTTCTTGATTTCTCGAACCAGTGTTTCTGTATTTGAGATTAAGGTTATTATTTGAAAATTTCGGGGGACTGAACTTTAGATTAAGGAGTTTCGGTATATTAGAGAGCGGAAAAAATAGGAAATATGGAAAAATACGAGCTTGTGAAAGATATAGGTTCTGGTAATTTTGGTGTGGCAAGGCTTATGAGGAACAAGGACACGAAAGAACTCGTGGCTATGAAATACATCGAAAGAGGACACAAGGTTTGTACCCTCTGTATGTCATAGCAGATCACTGGCAGTGTTATCAATATTGTGTTTTGTGGGCGTTGTGTGTGAAAAGCTTTTCTGCATTTCAGGCTTCTTTTATTTAGATGTGCATATGATTTATTTATGTGATTGAATCGTGTTGAAGTTTGTGAATTGGCGCTCAACTTCATTAGTTTTTTGGTGTAGATCGATGAGAATGTAGCACGAGAGATCATAAATCACAGGTTTCTTCGGCACCCAAATATAATTCGGTTTAAGGAGGTGAGAAACTCTTTCCAAGCTATCTCCTATTCATGGGATTATTGGGGAATGAAGTAAATTTATGGTTATAAACTTGAGTAATGCTATTTAGGTGGCGCGTGGCATTAATTGATTGGTAGAATTAAGTGACTTATTTACATATTTTGTTTAACCAATTATCTAGTGCCACTTAGATTTGGTTTGCAACCTCACTGGGGCTACAAAGCATTATTCTATAAACTTTTCCATGCTAGTGGTATGTTTAGTAAGTTGGATTAGTGAGCTCTTGACGGTATTAAATAAAAAAATAAAAAATAAAAAGTTAAAATTTTGTCCAGTTTTCTATCCAATACAATACAATGCTGCTTACTATACAGACGCTAATTTCCTGCAAAGGTTTCCTTTCATTTACTTTTCTTGTTTATGGTGGTGGGCATTAAATTTTCAGGTTGTTTTGACTCCCACCCATCTTGCCATTGTCATGGAGTATGCAGCTGGCGGTGAACTTTTTGAAAGAATCTGCAGTGCCGGAAGATTCAGTGAAGATGAGGTATTATAACACCCCCTCCACCCTTTCTCTTCACTGTGCTGCTGCAAAATGGTGATATGGGGACTCTAAAGAAACACAAATGTTGGCATTCTAAATTTGTTGAATTTTCTTATGATTAACGGTTTCCTCTTCAAATTTTTAGTCCAGGTACTTCTTTCAGCAACTTATATCTGGAGTTAACTACTGCCACTCCATGGTAAGTGAAGATTAGTAATTTACTAACCTGTACCTGAACTCGTATTTGTACATCATTTGTCTTATATATGTTTTAATATTTGCTACTATATTTCCTTGATTTCCTCTTGATCTGCAGACAATATGCCATAGAGATTTGAAGTTGGAGAATACCCTTCTGGATGGAAGTCCTGCACCACTGCTAAAAATATGCGACTTTGGTTACTCAAAGGTATTACACTGTCGTCTACAAAGTTTGTAATTTTGTTGATTATTTGAAAGAACTCTCTAGCTTTTCCATTACAAGCACATTGTAATTACTATGCTTGCATTTATATTCTTTAGTCATCTCTGCTGCATTCAAAGCCCAAATCAACAGTTGGCACACCAGCTTATATTGCTCCGGAAGTTTTATCTAGAAGAGAATATGATGGAAAGGTAAACATGTTGTGACATATTAGTACTGGTGCTACTCAATGTTTCTCAAATTTCCTTCCATATTCTTTAGTTTATTGTGGCTAATATTTCCTATATTCACGAAAATGATTTATAATATTTGGAAATTTAGATGTTTTCTTTTGATAAATTTATAAGAGTTCATTAACCTCTATACTAGCAAATAGCTCAAGATAAATACACCCTTCATTAAACATTGAATTGGTGTATTCTCTCTGTCTAGGCACGCATTTGCAGCAGAAATATAATTGTTTTTGCTCTGCATGTTTTGCTAACTTTTGTGTGTTTATCTTGTTATTCAGTTGGCTGATGTGTGGTCATGTGGAGTGACCCTTTACGTGATGCTGGTTGGAGCATACCCTTTTGAAGACCAAGATGATCCAAAGAACTTTAGGAAAACTATCCAAGCAAGTTTCTTCATTTGATCGTTTTAAATTTTACGAGGCTCTAGTATTTTGCATTTCTGAGAAACACGAAAAATTGTTCTGATTGTTGCTAACGCGTCCTTTGATGTTCTTTTCCAGCGAATAATGGCTGTTCAGTACAAGATCCCAGACTACGTACACATATCTCAAGATTGTAGGCACCTACTTTCCCGTATATTTGTTGCCAATCCAGTCAGGGTATGTACACTGTTAACGACTATTAAGTTTGTTGGGAAACAATTTCAGGCCTATTTGTGTGGACACCTATTATTTTAAACTAGGCTATATTTAGTATTTACTACTATTGTTTCACCTAAAGAGTGATGTTAACTACCCCTTTGTATACCTTTTTACTACTCTCTTATGTTATGTCATTGGTCCCTTGTTCACAATGGGAATGGAAACTATTCTGTTGTTGTGAATTTTGTTGATATGCCATAGGAAAATGAATTTAACATTATTTCAACCTTGCTCAATGCCTTTGTAGTTATCTGTCGAAGGATAAATTAACAGCACCACTTACCAAACTTGTACTTAGCCCCTGTTTGATTCCTTTAAATTAATTTATTTCTTAGACTCATTTTCAAGTACACATTCACATAATAAGATATTCTACACGTGAACCCAAAATTTTTCCTCATTTTTTAACTACGCATTCTCCAAAAAATAATTTTCAAACTATATTTTTTAAATTTTAAGGCCACCAAACTAGGGCTTAGTTTGTTTTGTAGTAGCAATAGAAGACTATTCTGGATTTTATACATTGGTTTCATGCACAAATGTATCACTATATAGATGTTCTGTTGGTGCAGAGAATTACAATCAACGAAATCAAGTCACACCCGTGGTTTTTGAAAAATCTACCAAGAGAACTAACTGATGCAGCTCAGGCCTTGTATTATCAAAAAGGAAACCCTACCCATTCCGTTCAAGGTGTTGAGGAAATAAGGAAAATCGTGGAAGAGGCCAGGACTCCTCCTCAGGCCTCTCGTTCACTTGGAGGCTTTGGTTGGGGAGGCGAAGAAGATGAGGACAAAGATGAAGAGGTAGAAGAAGAGGATGAAGAAGACGATGATGAGTATGAAAAACAAGTGAAAGCCGCACATGCAAGTGGAGAAGTGCGTCTCTCTTGAGGCCTCCTATTTACCTCTCAAGTAGAATTATATCTGAATTTTCATGGTAAATAAGTAAGTGTGTAAATTGCAAGAGGCTTGTGCTTTTGAATTACTGGGGTAATAAATTTGGACGATGAAGTTTGAGTGTGTTTGTGTAGAAATGGTGTGATTCTATAAATTTGATCTTGTCAATGGATTTCGATGTAGATTTGAAAATTATGGTTACTCCAGCTTTTGTTGTTTTCTGGATTGTCTTTTGTTGAGATTTCTAGTTCAACTGTGAATTTTGATCAATTTCTTCGACTATGCGTGGACAGTTGATGTGTGATTACTATGTCAAGACTCGTGTAATTGTTGTGAACGTGTAGATGTAATTTGACACCTGCGTTCAAAAAACTGTTGGTTAGAAAATGTTTTTGGCTAAGCTTAAAAACGGATGAGTTAAAGTTTTAAGGGAAAGTATGAGATTGTTTACTTATTTAGAGCATATTTGCCTAGTTTTAAAAGAAGTAGGAGTTAATTTATAAGCATAATTTCTGAAGTTACTTACCTTGTAAACACATATTTCCTGGAAATTACTGCTTGTGAACCTTTGAAAGCTCAACCGAACTAGCAATGATGGATGGCTTGTAAAGTGGAGGTTGATGTCAAAATTTGGTTCCAGTACGTCTTCTTGTTCCATACTTATCCTAGGATTCAATTGGGATTATCCCAATGTATGTAGGTGTAGTTGGTTGCCTCAATATCAGCACGGATGGAAGGCTAGGACACAACTGATTCATAATAGAGATGCTGACTCAAACTAAATGAGAAGGGAAGGGAAGGGAAGGGAAGGGATGGTTCAACTATAGCCTAGAGATGATAGTATGCGAGATATAACCACTTTTAGCATATCAAACCAATTCTCTAAAAAAGGGGTTCGTGAATAAGATGCACCGTGCTCGGACTTAGAGTGATACCGATAAAACAGAAAACCTGGAGGGAATTTCTCACAAAGAGGAAAGCCTTGATTAGAAAGTACAAAATTTTCTACCGTCAATGAATCAAATACAGTCGTATTAATAACCAATGCAATGTACTATTGCATCAAGACCTAGAATGAATGTGAAAACAACATCAAAGAATTGTGTGATACTACAGCTACAAACGTTTATCTACAAAAAGAATCGCTCCCAATCAAAGGCTGAGAAGTGAATCCTCACCTCCAAGCCGTATAAACTTCCCTTCATTCACTTTACGAGAGCTGCACAACATATAGCTCCAAGTCAGAAGACCCCTATCATCATAACAAGTTGATCACACAACAAGCTACGAACAATTTGATTGTTCTTGTCAAGTTAGCAAATCTAAAGTCTTTCTTTTTATGATTAGGCATCTTTCAATGTTGCCTCTTATTTTCATAAAGATAGAACCTTTCATAGCTTGGTGCAACGAACAGCCCGTTAGACCCCCCAAGTTGCCACAATATTTGGGGCTGTCTTTCTCCACACATACCGCCAACGAGCTAAGATACGGAACATAAGTACAATATAAAGAGGTTGAAAGCTTGTCATCGTACCTATAGATGGGACATCATTAGTGCACTTCCAAGAATATAGCAATAAATTCGCAATAAACAATCTTGCCATACCATATGGGTAGGGGAATATGACTCACTCCCCTACTTAATCCGGTAACGACCTTCTAGGAAACGTGTGCTTCGCCTCTCCATGCATTACATATTCCCTTCAGGTTAGTGGGTATGAAAATTCCGTCACTATTGCTGCACCATTCCTCAGATGTGTGGGCATCTACAATTTCCCCTACACCTCTTCCTGCAATACCTTATACAGCTCCCTTGACATTACCTTCACCTTATGCACTTTTGTATTAGTTCCTCAGTAGACGGCTCCTTTGACCGTTGCCTCACCACGCATGTCAAAGCATTCCTCACAAATGTCCCCACATGCTTTTGTCATGCCCTTGCGAAACAAACGTTCATGCCATAGGCAAAACTACATAACGTATGCCTAAACTTCTATCATCCTCAAATCTTTCCATCCTCGATTTTGCTTGCTTGCCAATCGCTTTGCCAAATGTTGGCGGTCACAAAATCTTCTCCGCATGAATGTATGCTATTCGCCTTAGGTAAACCAACAACATACTTTCGAAGCAAACCTGTTCTAACACCACATGTAATGGACCACCCATTTAGACCCCGAGATACCACAACACACGAGACCTTTCTCTACACATGCGACCGACAAGATATGCAACATAAACCCAATATAACGAGGTAGGAAGCTTGTTATCGTACTTGTACATGGGACATCGTTAGTGCACTTTCAATAATATAGCAAAATACCCGCAACCATGTGTTTGGTAAAGAGAATAATCTTCTGCTTTGAAAATAATCAAAAATAAAAAGTGTTCAATTGGAACATGAAAATGTGACTAAATGGTTCTAGTTACTCTTTGAGACAGTGGAAGAAGGGAGGGGATTCTCGGTGCCTTGTGGTGTTCAGTTATACTAGAACAATCGAATGCTTATCCTAGATATAGAGCCCAATGAAAGCGTTAAGCGCAATTAGATCCATTGTTTGGGGTAAGCAATCTTATCATACCACGTGGGTAGGGAAGTTCTTTTAGCTATATGATATTATTCCTCTTTTAGTAGCTAGGTATCTAAATTAAGTATCATATCACGCGATACACGATATGACTTAGTACCGTAAAATATCTGAAGTCGGAAAGAAGTGTAAAGTTGAATTTCAACATGGTTTCTTTAATCCCTAGCTAAGTCATCGATAGCTTTAACAAAATCTCAGTCATCTAATTTCCCCAGTCACTTTTGGGTAGTCTTAAATGACAATTTTACCCTTTGGTGAAAATTTATAGTAGGCTCGTGCAGTAATAAAATAGATAGAGGACATAACAGGGAGACATTACTATGAGAGAGAGAGAGAGAGAGAGAGCGAGAGAGTTGTATAAAGAGTAATCGACATTACTAGATATGCGTACATAACTAACGTGTTGATCATGATATTTCCTATTTATTTACGACTATCCTTAATTATTTGTTCTCTTGAGAAAGGCTTGTGAAATGTCCATAATTTTGATCGATGAGACTTAAACAAAATAGAAATGATGCTAAACAATAGAGTGGATTGTTATAGATCTTCTCTCCATGTATTTCCTTATTCAATCATGCTACATGTACATAATCTTTTACATCAAATTTGACATCTCTTGAATTGACGAATTTTTGTACATTAATTTTAACAACACTTTTTCTTATAAGATTTCCTACACAGGAATCATATTTCTTCCTTATTTAAGCTTCACATTAATTTGTCTTCTTCATAAACACACCCCCTTGAAAAAGGAAATAGACTAAAATGTGAAATGAGAAACATGCGCATGGATATTGTCTTCACCTTGTTAGGTTGTGAGGTCAAATAAACGTCAAAGGGAAATAATAAAAAATCGCAGCCTCATAAAATGCTTCATATGTTTCGACCTATGATTGAA